CTCTGAGTTCATCTCCATCTGCGTCATCCGGCAGGCAAGGGATGGCAGGACCCTGCTTGGGTTGCACAGGTCCTGTGCTGAGGTTTCTGGCTGCCTCCTGCCTAGCGCGACAGTGTGTTGTGCTAATCTGTTCACCATGGAAGCAGAAGCAAAACAAAGGGCAGGAGTTCTGTCTTAATGGGAAATATTCTGTCAGTGTCAGACTCCTAACTCTGCAACTTAGGAGCTTAGTTTTTATAGTCTCTGTTTTCCCTAAAGTCCAAGTGTTTATCAAATTCGTGTTTCAGAAATATGAGACACCTCAAAAAGAGAAACGTGGGCCGGGATATAGCTCAGCATCACAGCACCTGCTTGGCAAGCACAAGGTCCTAAGTTCAATTCCCAGTGCAAAAAAAAAGAGAGAAACATAAAAAGACTAAAGAAAAACAAGACCAAGAAAGAGCACAAATGAAAGAGAGGTGAGTAATTTCCACTCGTCCCAGGATGGTGTGGGGTCTGGCACTTCTGCTTCTGGTGTCCAGAGAAGCCCTGAGCAGCATATGGAGACAGGCAGGGAGAGGAGCTCATGGCCAGCATCAGGGACAGGGATCCTTCTGTGTCTTAAAGGAAATGCTGATATTCAGTGCAAATGCTTAGTTTTTCAGGTGCTTTGTTTTTCTTTTAAAGTATTCTTTAATTTATTTAGCTGTACTTTAAAACAAAAGGTTTTTGGTAAAAATCAAAAAGTAGGGGAAAAAGTCATTTAAGAGTAGAGTTTGAGTATTAAATAATAAAACAATGTTTACTCATTATTTGTCCCATATTAAATGAAGGTGTCTTGAGCACTTCTCAACTACTTTTTTTTTTTTTTTCCAGTACTGGAGATTTAATCCAGGGCCTGCTCGCTGACCTATATCCCCAACCTGTTTTGTATTTTTCATTCGGAGACAGGGTGACACTAAATCACTAAATTGACGGGGCTGGACTTGAACTTGTGATCCTCCTGCCTCAACCTCCTAGAGTGCTGGGATTATACTTTTTTTCAAACAGTACTAGATGTGGAACCTTGAGCTTTACTAAGCAAACACTGTACCGCTGAGCTTCCCCCTTGCCCTCAACTACATTGTCATTACCAGTTACATTATTATAGGTATCCACCACCATGCCTGGCTACAATTTTATCTTTTTAAAAAGTCTTCCTTAGCTAGGTGTATTGGCACACCCTGTACTCTTAGCACTATGAGAAGCTAAGTCAGGAGGAGAACAAATTCAAGCCTAGCCTGGGTAATTTAGCAATTTAGAGCCTGTCTCAAAATAAAAAATAATAAATGAGCTAGGGATGTAGTTCAGGACAAAGACCCTGATTCAGTCCCCAGTACTGGCGGAGAAAAAAAGGCCTTCCTTAATTCAAGGTGTTTATATTATACACACACACACACACACACACACACACACACACACCCTCCCCACACATATACACACATTACCCTAATGCTTTTATAGTTTGTTTCTGCTTTAATCCATTTGGATCATTTTGTTTTGTTGGGAACAGAGTAAGGTAGGCACCTAAGTTATTTTTCTCCAAGTGGATAGCCAGTTGCATTAGTCAGAGTGAGTAAGATAATTGCAATGGAAAGGAGGCCCCTAGGTTGGGTGTGGTCGTGCATGCCTGAATTCCAGCACTCCGAAGGCTAAGGCAGGAGAATCACTGCAAGTTCAAGGCCAG